CTTCAACCAAATAGAACGAAGCACCTCCAAAACAACTACAGATAAAATAAGCTAGTTTCTGTCTTGTTGTTTGGTGTACGTTTGTACTTGATCCATCGTTCAACCTAAATATCACCATGGCGATACGGGGAGTAAATCAAGTAAAGCCAAACCTCCGATGGGTGTGTTCAATGAGACAAAGAGAATTTAGTGAAACATCTGTGAACAAACGGCGCTACTTGTGGATTCCAGATGACAGTGACAGAATGAAACGGATGTTCATTCACGAGTTGAAACCTAGGGATTAAAATCTTTGATGTCTGGTGGCGGTGGTCGAATTTTCGATTGTAATTGGTATCACAATTAGACGCAATCACCGTTAAGCCAACGGTATACTCATGTTTACTTCATCCCATACATAATGACTGTGTAAGGTAGTAGAAAAACAAGTGTTCGTGAAAACTGATTCACTGAATCTCTTAAAACTATTGATATCGTAGGAGAACTGCGGCCAACCAAGGCAGAAATATCTGGCGCGTTCCCGGGGACTTGATGAAATGAAGTGAACATGTTGAACTTTCACATACCTATAGCTGGTATGCGGTTTTTGATCACACAGGTTATTCTGCTCGGCATTAATCAACAAAATATTATATTTTGATTTTGATTGTAAGTTACCCACGGTAACCGAAACGTCGGCTTATTTTCACCTGTACCGACATCGCTGTGTTTTCCAAATTACAACTTATATAAAATACTATATTGATTCAAATCTCCTCGAATTAGTTATTGTTTGATTTCATACCAAATTTAGACAATTTCAAAGAGAGGGATTGTGGGACGGACAAAGAGAAGGGAAAAGTGATCAGGAAGCCATGTGATTGGGTAGAATACTCTTCTGTCTGATGTGAAATGTCACAGATGCGACCCGGAATTAGAACAATATGTCGTGTCACCACACTGAACTGAAATGTCAGCCCACCTCCTCATTGGGTGATCGTCCATAAACCGGGTGTGTGTGTGGTTCTGCGTTATGGATGATTACCCATTAGTCAGAATCAAGCATGCATACTTAATTACAGTACAGACAGATGTTAGATCACCAAGCCAGGTGTATCAGTTTCAATCCCATAAATATCACATAGGAAAAAAGGACTTCCATCAGCCTCCACAGAAAAACGATTGGGAATAGAAATTTCATTTATTGGACAGACTATGAACCACTGGTTCTCGTTTCTCCATTTGTCCTATTATGTAAGTGTGAAACAGAACGTTAAAATAATTGTCATAAGTGACAAAGTGTAAAAGAAACGTAGAAATGTAAACGGTTTACGACCGGACGGCCAGCTGTGTTCCATGGAGATCTAAACCTTATGGGTAAATACGATTCCAGTTTGTTTTCCATTAAAAAAAAAATTTTAATCGGAAGGAACAGTAAATTGAACGGTTTTTAAAACGTTATCACAGCAACTGTTAGCCCGTAAATGGCCAAATGCGGTACATTGTCTTTTCAGCTCAAACGTACACCACCCTCCGGGGAAAATTTAACAGCAAAAAAAGAGTAACTGATTTCGTCAGATGCATTGAAAATGTGCCAAGAACTCCGGGCTACAATGGGAAATTCCAACGGGAAGCGGTGAATAAATCCTCAACCGTTGGAGCACAAAGTTACACACGTATGCAAAATGAATATCACTTACTTAGTAAACGGATCAAAACAGAAACGGCGAGTGGTACCAGGACAGACAACTCTGAGACCGGACATAAAGGGCGAATGTAAGACCACACCGGCCACCTAAAACGAGAGGAAATAAAAAAGCTGTGGATAGAATAGATTTCAACAGAGATGAAATGCATTACCATATGCTTAACCAACACAAAAGAGGCTAAGAAAGAAAGCCGGGAATCAACATTGAATCGTACAGACAAATAGTGCCGGTTATCGCCAAAAGTTAAAGAAGTAGTTGATGACCATCAGGGGATCTGGAATAGTGACAACTTTTTGGTAGCAGAATTTTAGAACGTATTATTGAGGCTCGCAGAAGGAATAAAACAAACGGCTACAGGGATTTACTATTCGGTCAAGAAAACCTACAGCCTTACGACTGCGAGTTGAAATCATCAACATCACCATACAGCAAAATACAGTGAAGCGAACCTCACTGATCGCTGTCAAACTCGCAATGCATACACGATTGGTGGTACAATTTAGGGTAGTCAGGGATTGGACCTAATTTGAGGGAAGGAGGTGAACCACTGTGGTCAACACACAGCGCACAATCGAACCCTGCATACATACCGTTTCAACCATTCTGGTCTGTTATGAAATGACAACAAGAACGCCACTGCTGTCGGTTCGCTGCCACATGCTTTAATGTCACCAACCAGCCAGTTACAGAGTATTTCGGACCCCAACCTGGAAGGCGAGAGACACCTACTCTACCTAATGGCTCCGTGCATTTCTTCATGCCTCGTCTCCACGTCATCTGTTGACCTCCACGTGGTTTCCTCCATCCCGGTGCGGCTACAGCGAATAAAGCGCAAGTCGAAATGAATAGCTTTATACCCAAATCAAAATTCGTCAGATCTCACAAGGCAAAAATTAGACTGCTGTTTAATGCAGTTAATTTAACTCAATGTATTTTCTATTTCACACTAATCTGAGTCCAGATTTTGCCAAACAAATCATAGTACAATAATCTTTATGAAAAAGAAAAAGGTTCCATGATTCGCATGTGCGCCGAATACTGCCAGTTTGCCCAGACCAAGAGAGATGAATCTTTTTTGAGAAATTCACAACCGGAGCCTTCAACTAGCCAAAGCCTGATCCGCAAGACAGCGAGGCGGTGTATGAAAACCGNGGGGGCCAGCGTCCATTTCATCGGATCATACGGCTAACGGACAAAGTTAGACGTCCAAGGTACCCAATATACCTGGATCCCCAATCGAGCCGATGACCACTGTCACAACCAGGAAGGTGTAGGTGAGTATGGTCTGTACGCCTCACCTTGGTTGGTTTGGAATCAATGTATTTTGCCAACTCTCCTAGACGAACT